CAGTAGCCTTGCGGGGACTCACAAATTCTGGCAGAGGGGCATGAAACCCACCATGTCCCCCCAGGGGTCCCCTGAGAATTGGTGGAGGAGAGCTTTTCTCTCTAGCAGGGGTCACTACTAATCTAGGATTAATGTAGAGGTGCCAACTGGTTTGGGGAAGAAGGTTCCCCCTCTCTGGGGGGGCACTGAGGCCTATACTAAAGCCTTCTCCGTAGCTCCTGCTGCCAGAGCAAGCCTGCCCTGGGAGGATGGTGAGGGCAACCATTTTGGGGTGGGGGCTGGAACAGCACTGAGCTTGAGGTGGGTCTGGGTGATTTTGCAGGATCCTTCTGGGGGTCCTGTTTTTTGGGGGGCTCTAACCCACCTCTACACACCTGTTGCCATAGAGCTGGGATGGAGCAGTTCAGAATGGAGCTACCTTATAGTTTGGGGGTGCAGGAGTATGTGGGGTCTGGTATTTTGGTGGCTCAAGGAAAGGGGGGTTGATATTTTGGACATCCCTATTAGGGGTGCATTTTTGGGCATTGGGGTGCAATGCTTTGGGGCTTCAGGAGCACTCCATTATGAGGAGCTGATATTTTGGGGGTTGGGGCTTCCTCTTGGGGGTCCAATTTGGGGTAAGAGTCCCCCAATATTTCGGAGGTACAAGGGGGCTGCTGTGCTGGGGGCAGGGCGCCCACACGAGGGCAGGGAGCCTCCTGGGGGGGGTACAGAGGCACCTTTTAGGGGGGCAGGGGAGCGGAGCTTCCTATAGGGAGGAGGAAATCCTTGCTAGTTCAGGGATACGGGGAGGCTACTTCAGGATGCAAGGCGCAGAGCTTGGGGCGGCTTTTGCGGGGCCCTGCCATTTTGGGGAACAGTAGGCGGGGCTAATTTGGGCTCTAAGGGGTGGAGCTATTGGAGGGACTGGAGTTTGGGGGGGGTCTTTGCTCTTTAAGGGGCGCAGTCTTCCCCCTGGGGGGTCCCTTTGATCTCTAGGGGGGTCCGTGTATGTCCCCGCCACTAACGCTTTCCCTGCCCCAATCACCTGCTGGCTCCACCCCCCCTGGCAGCCGCTGTCGCCTTCAGGCGTCGGTCCCGGCTCTGCTCGCAGCTGCAGCCCCCCCTCCTTCCCCCCCCTTCCGCCGTCAGCTCCAGGGGACCCCGAACCCCAGCATGGCCCGGTAAGTTGCAGGGGGGAAAGGGCGGGGCTGGTTTGCAAGGGGGAAGTGCGGGGATGCTGTACTGCAATAAAGGGGTGCTGTGTTGCAACCGGGGGTTGGTATCGCAAAAAGGGGGTGTGATATTGGAAGAAGGGGGTATAATTTCAAAATGGGGGAGGGGGCAAAAGGGGGTGGCATTGCAGAAAGAGGAGGGTTCAGTTTTGCAGAAAAGGAGGTACAGTATTACAAAAAGGGGATGTGGGGGGTGCAAGAAGTGAGGGTGCAGTGATGCTAAAGGGGGTGCTCCATTGCAAGAAGGGGGATGGCATGATGCAAAAGGAGGGGTGCATCTTTTTCTGCAAGGTTGGAGCGGTTGCAATGGCTCCCCCTTTCTAGCTCTTCCCAGCTTGTCTCTTCTGGGCAGTGGAGAGGTACTGGGATCACTGTGGCTTCTCCTTGGCAGTTGGGGGAGGTATAAAAATACCCCATGCAAAGGCTGGGGCAGGGGAGAGGGTATCTTGGGGGGAGGCACTCCCCTGTGCTTCCTTCCCCCACGAGTAATGAGCTGGGGTGTGTATGCAAATCTATGCAGGCTTTCCCACTTGACTCCTTGAGGTGAGGGGGAGCTGGGGGGCGGGATCTAGCAGTGACACACAGAGGGAGCCCAGGTGTCTGGGACATGGGGGTGTACACCCACACATGCACACTCTGCCTGTCCCTACACACACACACACACTGCAGCAGCTGCATAGTGTGGAAGGTGGCAGTGTGGGGGGGGGATGGGGGAGGGATGGATGGAGGGATAGGGGGATGGGGACAAACAGGAATGAAGGGATGGGGAGAGGGATGAGGAATGACTAGAGGGATGAAAGGGTAGGTCGGACACACTGGGGTTGTCATGGAAAAGGAAAGCTGGGTGACAGGGGAGGGGTACCCAGGCAGAAGATGGAAGGAAGGATGAAGGATTATTGGATGCATCTGGGTGCAGGGAGGGGAGAAAGGGTGGGTGTGGGTTGGTCAGGCAGAGGATGGAAGGAAGGAAAGCAATGGAAATGTATGGGGGTGGGGGGGTGGGATGGAGGGCTGGCTGCATGGAGGGGTGAGTTGTGATTAAGACAGTGGGGTGGGTGGTAGGCGCAGGGGAGCCCAGCGGAGGATGGAAGGAGGGTTTTGGCTGTGGGGGTGAGCAGGGGATGAATGCAAACCCCTGGATCTTCCAGGGGCAGTTGGGGTGAGGATGGATGGGGAGGAGTGGATAGATGAGTGTGGGGTGGGCTGGTGGATGGATGAAGAGATGGATGGATGAGTGTGGGGAATATGGATGCAGGGAGGGAGGGTTGGAGAGGTCGGTGTGGGGTAGGCAGGCAGAGGATGGAGGGATAAGTGAGGTGGTGGATGGATGGATGGATGAAGGAATGGGCAGCTAGTGTAGGGATCATGGCAGGAGGGTGGGATTGGTGTGGGGTAGCCAGGTAGAGGATAGAGGGATGCTTGACGGGGTGGAGGAATGAATGGAGGGATGCAGTGATGAGTGGGAGGAAGAGGGGCTGGAGGGGCGGACAGACAGGCAGATGGTGGCTCTTGGGGGAACACAGGCCAGGGGGCCTTGTTGGGATGGGGGCATGGAGGGAGGCTTGCACAGATAGACCTATGAAGTGAGATCTGGGCTGTGCGGGGGATGCTGGGGCTGACCAGGGGAGCCAGGCAGCCCAGGGCCAGGCTGGGGTTAACCTCTTCATTCTTGTATACCCCCTCCTATGACGTAGTGTTCCTTGCGCCTCTGCCCCCCCCCCTCCCCCCGTTCTGCTGCAGGGCTGGGGGTGGGGCCAGCATGGGGCTTATCCCTCCCCACCTCAGATTGGCTGCAGTGCCTTTGACCTCCCAGACCCTCCATTCACCCCAGAGAAACCAGGTCTGAGCTCCTGGCCCTGCCCACCGAGGTGATGGACATCCAGTAACTATGGTAATTAGTGGCACTTGGGAGATCGTTTCTACCTTTCCAGTGAGACAAGGTCAGCCCAGACTGGCATCAAGAGTAAGGGGCACCACAGGACAATGAGGGAGCTGTGGGTTGGGAGTGAGGAGCACCGTGGGGCTATAGGTCGGGTCTGCAGGTCTGGAGGGAGGGGCACCAGTGGGTGTGATGATGGTGGTCCTCCCTGTTGCTTTGACCTTTGCCCTCTTCCCCCCCACAGGTTGCCCCCGGATGGTGGGCTCCCCAGTTGCCCCAGGCCATGACCACACCATCCCTATCCATGGATTGGAGCCTGCCCCCGAGGGTTTTAGCTATGCAGGTGCCTGACCCCTCCCAGGGGGCATGAGGCCCCCCCCACCCTCCACCCAACAGGCTCTGAGCAGGTGAGGGGCAATGGTGGGGGAAGGGGATGGATCTCAGGCATCCAGACTGATTCTCCCCACTGCCCATTTGATTGTAGACCCCAGGGGGCTACAGTTTGAGAGTGAGGGGTACTGCGAGGCTATGGGGGGCTGCAGGTTGGGAGCAAGGGGCAGTGCAAGGTGCAAACATGGAACCCAGGCATCCAGGCCCTCTTTGTCTCTGGCAGGCTCCCCCTCCACCTATCCCAGCATCGGCGAGGCAGTAGGCTGCCCCCGAAGCCTGGGGCTGCAAGAGCTGTGGGGGCTGATGGAGCAGCGAGGGGCTGAGGGGCGGCGGCAGCTGGACGAGGCCTTCGGGGGCGCAGCTGGACTCTGCAGGCGCCTTGATACCCACCCTGAGCATGGTATGGCACAGCATGGTGGCTGCAGCTGGGGGAGCACAGCCTAATAGAACAGGAAGTGGCTGGGGGAAAGAATGGGCAGCTGAGTGAAATGGTATGTGACAGGCTGGGGGAGAATGGGGCAACTGGGTAGAACAAAGATGCAGCTGAGGCTGGGGGTAACAGAATGCGGCTGCAGCTGGGTGGGCTGGGGATGAAGGATGGGTGGTTGGTGGAGTGGGAGGCAGCTGAGGCTGTGGGGAGCACAGCTAGGTGGAACAGAGATGCACCAGGCTGGGGAAGAACAGGTGAGCTGGGTGAAATGGGATGTATCTTAGGCTGGTGGGGAATTTGGTTGAACCCAGGCATCTGGGCTAATCCCCCCAACCTTAGGAGGGGCCCCAGATATCTGGGCTAACCCCCCACCTCTTGCTGGGGAGGGGGCCCCGGGGTCTAGGCCAGGACACAGGTATTTGAGCTGCCCCACCATCCTCTTTAGGATGGAACCCAGGTGCCTGGGGCAGGACCCGGGTGTCCAGGCTGCTTTCCCCCACTTCCCAGAAGGGGACCTTGGTGTCCTGGTGGCATTGTGACCCCTGCCCCTTAACCCCAGGGCTGTCAGAGGGGCCGGTGGAGCTGCAGCAGCGCCATGAGACCTTTGGGCAGAACCAGCTGCCACCACCACAGCCCAAGAGCTTTGCACACCTGGTGTGGGAGGCGCTGCAGGATGTGACACTGCTTGTGCTCCAGGCTGCTGCCCTTGTTTCCCTCGGCCTCAGCTTCTATGCACCCCCCGGGCCTGACCTTGCAGGTACTGCTGA